ATTAGGACGATTCATTGGTCTCCCGTATAGCACGCAAGACGGTTTACAATATGTTGTGTTGTATGTGCAATTATTTTGATGGCGTTGGTTCTTGTTGTAAATATCCTTATGTAGATGACTTATTAAGTGAACTATTGGCATGGCCCAGTTTTGGCTAAAGATTTTTTTAGTACGAAGGGTAATTAAAAAAATAATTTCAAAGTTTTCAGCCAAATATATATATTAGAATATTATTTCGTTGAAAATTTAAATTAAATTTAAAGTAAATTTACCTTCCACGCAATCTTTAGAAGAAGAAACTCTGATGCCACAAAGGTTGTGTATCAAGTGCGCAAATTTATTAAAATATATTTACGTCTTCCTCTTAGAGGTGCAAAAGTTACACGAAATATATTTGAATCAAGCAAGGAATTTAAAAAATTTTGTGAAAAAGATGTTGGTCCACCGGACGGTTACGAACACGCTCAGTCAGATGTTATTTTAAGATTGGATTATGATGAGGACACAAGAAGGTACTAATTCAAGTAAGATATAGAAAGAGATTTTACATGTTTATTTATGTGTTCCCGCGTTTCTAAGAGGATCAAACAAGAAAACTTTCAACTGAAGCTTCTGAAGTTATCAAGTTGGTTTGGAGTGAAACTGCCTTAAACTATAAAACAGAAAGTGAAAGGAGGTTTTGCCTTGAAAACGATAATATTCGCAGCTATCACTAGCAAAAGCAACCGAGGATGCAACCTTAAAATCCAGTCTTGCTACCAGTTGAGAATATTGATCACGTCTGTCTCCTAATTAACATCGATTCATGATTCGATGCAGTCTAATTGAGAAGAGTAACGGTTCTGCAAATTGAAGATCTGCGAAAATGCTCTTAGAGCTTCTAACGAGACGGCATCCATAAACTACCCGGCAAGAAACAAAAGACCACAAATAACGACGGTAAACATTTTATTTATTAAGTTTTGTAACAAATATATTTTAAATAAATTTAAATCTTATCAAGAAGTACAAAGAATTTATTTGCGCAGCTACTATGTAATATTGAACTGACCTAATGATCCTGATGTTATAAATCAATGTGAAATAAAAAGAAGATACTTTTTTCCAGACAGTACTGAAACATACTGCACTATGCACCATTTTTGATATATAATTTTTATTCAGGGGGCCGATATTAAAATTAGCAAAATTGGGCAGTAACCCTTGAGTTAAATAATTGGCACATCATTTCAACAACCTTCAGCTTTCCATGTCTCCAAAGCATTTCTCCATAAAATAATAAATAGGCGTAAACACATGTCACTATTCGTTTTCCTGACAGAAGTGTCTTTGTAACTCAAACAAACATTTTCCAGCTCGTAGAGCTTTCCAGAGATGAATACCACATAAACATCTGTCAGTAAACTGTATAATATGATCGCCTATCTTGTAGTAACACCTTTAAGGCTATCATCTTTAAATATTGTGGAAAACTGTACAAAATTTCAATTTCATTTGCTTCTTGCTTCGAAAGAATCGCATCATCGTTATTCATTCATTCGTCTCTTGTAATCTTACTAAAATACATTGGTCCGAAATTGGCCGATAAATACGGCATAACCATTTGACCATACTTTAAACCTTTAGGGCGTTCGAAACGGTATATGTCACTAAATAAATGTATCAACGAACTTAGATCTTTAATTGTAAATGTTAAGCCGAAATCATTAAAGACTTTTTGCATTGCCATGTGGACAACACCATCGTTTCGTATCGGCGACAAGCAACATGTGGAATATATTAAATTTCGGTTTAAGCAAACGTAAGCAATTTGCTAAAATTGCCGCTTGAAGCTCAGGTATGCGCAAACGTTCTTTAAGACGAGTTGGTTTGAAAATATTGTTATCATTACTTTACGTATGCGAGTAACTCTGGATTCCATCAAATCATTGCACACTATTTGAGAAGGATATAATGTTTGCAACATTAGTAAGTATTTGCCACCGGGGGCAGCGCAGGCATCGACTACTCGATCACCCGGCCGAATATCCAAAAATAATGGCGGCAGGATTGATGCTCCATCCATTAAGTAGTGTGATAGAACGCCTTAGTGGGTTAAAAGAATTTCGCTAATGTCCAAAAAAGTACGGTATGGCTTTGCCACGTTTAATAATACGTAAAGTGGATAAACAAATGGCTTTGTTAGAGGCAGACGATCCCGTTTCCCAATTGCATAAGTGTGTATATGAAGGATACCGATCGAATGTATTTATGTTTATCACAGGTAAAAATAATACAATTTCAAGCGACACCCAGCCCTAAAGAACCCAATAAGGAAATGATTAATAAGTGTATTCTAAGGGACAATGAAGGTAATTTTGTTTTTACAAGCACCGCCTTTTTTTAGTTCGCCCGTCGCATTAGTACCTATAGTTAATTCATTAAATTTGAATGGTGGTGGAGATGTGGCCATGTTGGAGTTAAGTGGTGACAATTTTACTCCTCATTTACAGGTTTGGTTCGGCAATGTGGAAGCCGAAACTATGTATCGCTGTACGGAAGTCCTCCTGTGTGTGGTCCCTGAGATATCGCAATTTCGGGAGGTATGGTTATGGGTATGACATGACCTTTTAGCTTATATAAAGAGATTTTTTCACATTTTTGGTTTTTCTTTAGGTGCGTCAACCTATCCAGGGAGTAGACTGTCTTATACGTAAGATATAGTCTGCTAAAAAGTCGCAAAAAAATAATGATTAATAGTGCCGATGAAATAAATTTAAAAACTGTTAATGTATATGTAAATATTGTAATGGTTTATCAACACTCGCCTGCAGTTGCCAAAGCACAATAAAAAAAATGTGAAAAGAATGAACATGAAAAATTTTAATTTGAATAGTTGCTTACCCATATTTCATGACATCAATGCATATTTTTGAAAAAAAAACTAGCAAAAATTCCGTAGAGTGGATTACAATTTTTAGCTTTCAAAATAATTAAAATTAAATTGATTAAGAATTACTTGCGAGGATTTTTAAGATTTTTTTGTAATAACACATATGTTTTATTTTCCCGAAAAGAATCGTCTGTTTAAGAAACTTACTCCTTAAGCTAAGTATCTATTGCCAGAAAACATTGTACCAATTGCAACGAAACGACCATCATCACGAAGGCTTCTTCCACACAATCGCAAAGTACAAGAATGTGCAGAGCCTGATTTTTACGGTTTTCCGCACCACCCTTAAGGTACCGTGATAGGCGCGTTGCCAATTGTTTTAAATGGCTGGCTCCCCAGTAGACCTACACCACTATATACATAATTACAAATTACAATATTATTTGCAATAATAATACATAATAATACATAATAATACATAGTAATACATAGTAATACGTAATAAATAAAAAGCCCCGCTAATACATACATATATATAAAGAAATAAAAATTACTGGTATGCCGGTGTGCTGACATCTGCAAAAGAAAAATATTGTGATTAATAAATTTTATATACAAAGATGACCACAAACTTACCATTGGCCTACGGAAGTATCCCATTCTGCTGAAACGATGAGTGGAGGTGGAGTAGGAAGCATGCTCTTTGATCTAAAATAAAATAAAAAGAAGTGAATAAATTATACATAATACTAAGTAACGATAAATGCAAACTTACCTTTAGCATGCAGCGAATTTTCATCGCTATGAGGCGTCGACCGAATAGCTGGCCTTGATTTTGCGGGCGAACCTAAAGCACGGCTTCAAAATGACGATGCATTTTCAACTGTTTCTTGCGCCCAGTTTTTGCCAGTCAGTAGCAAATGTATGATGAA